ATCATCAATGTGCATGCTTCCTTTCTCTTTTTAAATTTAAGCAATGTTTCGAGCTGTTCTTTTGGACAAAGAATGTTGGGAAAGCAATATGAGACTTGATCCTGTCACTGGTTTGGATCCACCCGATGTAAAATTGCGGGCTGCACAGGGTTGGTGTGAATTAATATTATTAATTTGTTTCACTTAAAATCTTTAATTTTTTTTTAATCTATTTACTCGCAGGACTGGATGCTGCTGATTATCTTTTCCCAGGGTAAATTTATTAAATTATTAATAATGATTGAAATATCTTGTAATTATCAAGCTTATAAAAAATTTATAACACTAATGTTTTAACAGTTATTGGGTTTGGGGTACGTATCATATATAAGTTAAAATATTACATAAACATAAATAAATTTTCTTTTTATTTCATTTTCTAGGCAAAATGATACAAAGTTTTGCGGCGATCGGTTATGATTCTAATAACATGCATCTCGCTGCTTATGATTGGAGACTTTCATTCTTTAATCTTGAAGTTAGGGATAAATATTTTTCGAAGCTAAAATCTAACATTGAGTTAATAAAATCAACAGAAAATAAAAAATCTGTACTTATTGGTCATTCAATGGGTTCGTTGTTTTACTTTTCTACCATGAATATGTATACAGTATATGAATTTATGTATATTTTATTCGATATTCTTATAATTAACTTGATTTCAATACTTAACTTTATTTCAGGCGCTTGCGTTATTCTATATTTCTTCAAGTGGGTAGAATCCCCATTAGGTGGCAATGGTGGGCTCTCTTGGGTTAACGATCATATTGAATCTTTTATTAATATTGGTGGCCCTTTATTGGGTGTGCCAAAAGCTTTGTCTGCATTACTTTCAGGTATTGTTCCTTTAAATATTCAAAATAAATTTTCCTACGTGAAGACTGGTTTATTAAATATTATGATTTTAGGTGAAATGCGAGATACCGTAGAATTAGGTGCTTTTGGAATTTATGTTCTTGAACGTTTTTTCTCTAAACGTGAGCGATCGGAACTTTTTCGCACTTGGGGTGGACTTTCTTCTATGCTGCCAAAGGGTGGTGCTGCGATATGGGGCAACACGACTCATGCTCCTGACGATCGTGAGAAATCGATGCATACTTTTGGTTCCTTGTTAACCTTACGTTCCCTTCTTCATAACAAATTCGATAATAATGATACCAATCATACCGCAGCTGAAATAATTTATAAGCACACAAGTACTACTGGTATAAATTTTTTACAACAAAATACGGACTCATTTTATAATAAAATGTTGTCCAATAATTATAGTTTTGGAATGGCTACTTCTGAAGATGAAATTTCCGATGATATGAAGGATCATACTAAATGGACTAATCCTCTTGAGTCACGATTACCTTACGCTCCTGAAATGAAAATATATTGCTTATATGGTTGGGGAAAGGATACCGAAAGATCATATTACTATTCACATGATTTTACAGATTCGAATGAGAGTTCTAGCGAAGATACTTATAAATTTTTAAACAGTCTTTTCATCGATAGTTCATTCAATTCTGATCATGATCCAAATATAAAAAGCGGTGTACATAATGGTGAAGGGTAATTACTCATAGCATATAATAATATATAATCATAATTTTTTAGCCATTCGATTAAATTCTTACCAAGCCTTTGATTATATGTAATAGAGACGGTACTGTCCCACTACTATCACTAGGATTTATGTGCACTAAAGGATGGAAAAATCCGCTATATAATCCTGCTGGGATTAAAGTAATTACTCGTGAATTTGAACATGAGGTAGGGCCAGGTCTAAATATTCGTGGTGGTGCAAAGACAGCAGATCATGTAGATATATTGGGAAATTATGCAATTACGGTAATATTTTATAACTATTTTTTTGCAATTTATTTTTTTATATATCTACTTAAGCATATACCAAATCCCTCATTAATTATAAAGGAGGACATTTTGCGTATTGCATCTGGACACGCTGAAGAACTCAAAGACAGGATCACTTCTAATATTTTAGAATACGCCGCCAGGGTTGATATCTAGTAAATTATAACTTATAAAGACATTTGCAGTTTCATATTACCTATTAAGAATTTAGAGATATTTCTAATTTTAAATTAATAGCATCTTAAGTTATTACATGTTCACATGTTTAAAAAAAAATTATTACGTACGCAACAAATGTTCTTGTACGATTAATGACCAATTTTAATAAATTTACGTACTAACAATATTTGATTTAATTTATACGATTTTTCACATTTAAAATTTTACTATACTGTATTTATTAACGTTAATCGATACATTTTCGAAGATTTTACCCAAAAATCTTACGGTGTTTCATAAAACAAAATTACTAAATTTCCTATGTACATACGTACGAATTATAATGAAAAAACATTTTTGCGTGAAGTGCGACTTGTTCAAATATGTGCAGCAAGTTTGTCTTTAATTATTTGATGGCTTTTTTTAGCTTGCATATTTTTGGTTTGAAAAGGAGATCAAAAAGATGCACCAGTGAGAAAACTTATTATCCGAAGATAAACCTTGGGATCTAAGCTTCATTTCCCGATTCCTTTCTCTTATTTCATTACTAATCCGTTTTTTATGTACCCGACCCAGAAATTCGATCTCTTTATCTGATTTTATAACAAGGTCGGGTATATTAACATCATCTTCAGATTTGCAAATCGCTCTTCATTTCCTTTTGGCCGTTCTAGTTCCATGATTCTTGCATTGAGCTCAGCATCTCTTAACTTTGCTTTTTTCAGCATTTTCTTCTATAATCTGTTTTAGCATAGTCTCAAGCGCATTTTTTTCTTTTACTATGGTGCGGAGCACCTAAAGACTGAAATCACGTGATCTGTCCCATTTTCAAAATTTTCATATTGAAATTTAAAGACTGTTTTAACTTTTTTATAATACAATTTACTTGCCGGTTTAAATGCCTTGCACTGCTTAAAGTTGATCGTAACCAGGGTTATCAGTGGTAAACTTACCGTGGTTGGATCACGATCAGGGTTGCAAAGTATTTTATTCCCATTGTTTTAAAAAAGTATTACATATTTAGATTACAATCTAAATGAGAATTTTTCCATCACTCAGTGTTTCACAAGCGCAATATCCAAATTTTTTCGTCTTCCCATAATTGATCAACTCAATACAATTACTTTTATGCCTTCTAGTTTGCCTTATTCTAATTAATATGGTAATTAAACGAAAACGCAATTCGAATCCGACCGCACCAGTTTCGGCGCCAGAGGTTAAGTCGGAGGAGACTACAGCACCTAGTCCTACAAATTCTAGTAAGGTTGAGCGTCGAGGACGTCCACGAAAATTCTCAGAATCAGAAGAACCTCCAAATGAAAAACCAACTAAATCATCTCGTACAGGTGAAACATTGAAGATAATTTCTTTCAATCCAAAAGGCATCGGGACTTCAAATAAAGGAAAAGAAAAAGACGTTGAGTCTGTACATTCAGAACTCACTTCAGAGTATGACAGTTTCATACACATTATTTTACTCTTTGATCGATTTTTTAACATTCTTTGTCCAAAAGAACAGCTCGAAACATTGCTTAAATTTAAAAAGAGAAAGGAAGCATGCACATTGATGAT